CCCTGGAGATAAAGCATTGATAAAGATGGACATGAGGCCCATCAACACAAAACTAATAGTCTTGGAAGGGTAAATGGATACTGAATGCTACAAAGTATGTGATAAAGTCTGTGAAGTACTGGGTACTATGTGAAAATATAGTATAGATACTAACATGTACAGATTCTACAGTATAGATTCTAACTAGGCAGTAAAGAAAGAAATCCCTGAGGCAGTAACATGTAAACCAAGATGAAAGAATAAAGTATGAATAAGCTAGGTGAACTATAAGGGGAAAAATATAAAAAGGCATGTACTAAATGAAGATTCTAGAGAAAGGATATCCATAAGATAAATACCCAGAAATGGAATTGCTGAACCACAGCGCAATTATAATTTTACTTCAAAAGGTTCTTGCTCAGTTGTTTGGACTAGAAAAAAGACAAAGTGACACTTACCGTTTAACAGAAGGAATTTTTGAATAATTTATAACATTATTTAAGATAAGAGAATGAGCCAGTGAGCCAAGCTCTTTGAGACTAGAGAGTTCATCCTTTTGTCCTAAATGAGGTGTTTCACACATCTGAGGTACTCAACAAAGGTTTGCTGAATTAAAGTGAACTCATTGGGTTAGGATAAAAAACAAATTGTTGGGAATATACCTCATTATCTCTAGAAACCGCTGTTTTTAAAACAACTAACCTTTTCATCATCCTCAAGTAATTCTTTATGAAAGCCGCTCATGAGAACTATTCCAAAAGTCTCTAAACTGTTCTGTCTCCATTTCTCTCATCTTCCAAACTCAACATCCACAGAGCCGAGAGTAACTACTCAACCCCCAGATCTGTTTGTTTACGTTCTATACTTAAAACCTTCAAATGACACCTCATCACCTCCAGTTGTACATCCCAAATACAGAATCTATGACTGACACTGGTGAAATGAGGGGGGGAAAAGGACAACTTACCGAGTTTTTATAAAGTTAATATATTCAATTTAGTTTCAATTTAGTATTCAATATAAACTATTGTAAGATTTTGCTTCCTGCTCTTTTGGAGTTAAAATATCTTTTTGTTTATGAAAAGATAGAATATTTCTTAAGAAACACCTTTTTAATTTAAAAAATTAAAAAGTTGGGAAAACTATAACTATTGTTATATTTTATTGTAATGGCCCAACACAAAAAAATCTGGGAAACACTGACTGACAGGATAAAGTCCAAAAGACAAACAGGGCAGTGTTATATTTTATTGTAATGGCCCGACACAAAAAAATCTGGGAAACACTGACTGACAGGATAAAGTCCAAAAGACAAACAGGGCCCTTTATATTTTATTGTAATGGCCCAACACAAAAAAATCTGGGAAACACTGACTGACAGGATAAAGTCCAAAAGACAAACAGGGCCCTCTCTAACTCTTCTCACTTCCCAAGAGATTTTTTGCTACAATAATGCAGGATTGCAATAGTGTCCAGCATACAACCTACGAATTCTTTGCCTTTGCTCAAGCTTTCCCATAAATGGAATGACCTCAACAACTCCTTCTCTTCTTCATTTATGCAATTTATTGAATATCTACTATACACCAAGCACTAGGGACAGAGTAATGAGCAAAAGAGAAACATCCTGTTTTCACGAAGCTCACAATCTAGTGGAGGAAACAGACAAAAAAATCAATATAGAATTTAAAACAACAATGATTACTGCCTTAAGGAGAATGTAATGAAGGAGCCTAAGAATGAAGGCAGGAAGGTTAGTCAGAAGGCTACTATATAGTTCAGGAAAGAGATAACCATAATTTGCACTAGGGTACAGGCACAGAGATGTCAAAATCTGGGGTTGACTGGACTTGCTGAAAAACTGGAAAGAGCTAAAAGAGAAAAAATACACCAAAGATGACTCCAGCATGAGCAACAATACAGACCTGCACTAACAGTCCCAATTTGTTATGCCTCCCTCGATCTACGCCCTTTGGTATGACCTTCCTCAGACAGGAAGATGAAAGAGGTTATAGCTAACAGGCATGAGTAACACCATTTTCTTGAAGGGTGACTTAAAAACCTCATATAATCATTAACTTTAAAAATAACAACCTTGT